AGTGCTTGAACAGGGCACTAAAGACTTGTCTTAGTGTTTTAATTACATAGTAAACAATTATGTTTGTTGGGGGTGTGTGAGTGCAGGTGTCGATGGAGGTTACAGGAGATGAAAACTCCTCTTCCCCACTCCTTAGCACACTTTAGGGTCTGTATGAGGAAAAGAGGTGTCCTGGCTTGGGCCTCCCTCCTGACAGTTGGGAAGGGCAGCTTCCCTGGACCCTCATCAGGTATTTGCAGCTTCTTAGTAGCCACTAATCTGAAAAAGGCAACCCAGGACCTCAAAAAGGTATAGGGGTTCAGCCTATTATCTCCCCTTTTCCCCTGTCTCTGAGAGCAGCCCTCACTTGTGATTTTCTTCAGTAGCAACAATCAGAGTATTCCTGGTCACTGCCATGTGTCAAGCACTGGGAACACATCAGGGAGTGAGGCCATGATCCCTCTTTCACGGAATTTTCTGTGTGTGCGTGTGTGTGTGTGTGTGTGAGGGGGGGTGGGCAGGCACAGAGGGGAGGGAGAGAGAGCCAGACAAATAGTCAATCACAAGGTATTGAATATACTAGAGGTCATGCCTACCCTGTAACCAGCCTCCCCAAATAGATTCTAGAATCACAGCATGTTAGAACCAGTCTAGGTCCCCCCTTGAGAGTCTGAGGAAACTGAGGTTGGAACCCGGTGACAAGATTTGTCCAGAGGCATCATGGAAACTTGCTGGCAGACCCAAAGTTGAAACCTGGCCTCTAACTTCTGGCTTCATCTCCATACACTCTCCTCACCCAACCTGCCACCTTCAGCCCTGTTCCCCTGCTCCTGATACAGTAAGAACCTTCAGTGAGGCACCTCCTTCACTGATGCTAGGTGGCACCAGAACACCTTCAAACAAAAAGACTCCTGGACTTGGTTCCTGTCTGACAATCTCATTGCTGGTGACCTGAAGTTTTGGCTGGGCGGCACTCCTCTGGTAGTGCTCTCAAAAGGCCTGCCTGCTCAGGGCATTGCCCCAGCTCATAGTCCCCACCTCCTTTATCAGTGGAGTCCTGCCTGGGTCCCAGGCTCCCCTGGGGTTCCTCTTTTTTGGTCACCTGGGAGGATTCACTCCTGTGTGACTGACTTCTTGGGGGCTCTCCATGTACGTGAGAAGGACTGGCTGAGTGCCCAGTTCAGGGAGAGATATGTTAAGGCAATGCAGGAATGAATTCTGGTTCTCCCAAGCTGTTAGTATCTTCCTTCCTTATGGAAGCTTTTGTCTTGGCAGCAACCCGGCTGGACACAGTGGTTGTGGTCTTTTCCTAGGTCATGCTGTAGGCCTATGCCAGAGTTGGATAAAATTCAGGCTTACTAATTTTCAAGCCTGCACTGCACCACCTTGCCTCTCAAGAGAATGTTGATATGACAAGCCCCTCTGAAATCTGGTCCCCACCTGCTCCCCAGCCTCATCTTGCAGTCGTGTGGCCCTGTGGTCAAAAGTACACTGCCAGGCACGGTGGCTCATGCCTGTAATCCTAGTGCTTTGGGAGGCTGAGGCAGGTGGATCACCTGAGATCAGGAGTTTGAGACCAGCCTGGCCAATGTGGCAAAACCCCATCTCTACTGAAAAAAAAATATAAAATTAACTGGTGTAGTGGTGGGTGCCTGTAATCCCAGCTACTCAGGAGGCTGAGGCAGGAGAATTGCTTGAACCCAGGAGGTGGAGGTTGCATTGAGCCGAGATCATGCCACTGCACTTTAGCCTGAGGGAAAGAGCAAATCTCTGCTTAAAAAAAAAAAAAAAGCCTCTGGTTTCAGACTCTGCAGATTAGAATGCCAGCTCACTGCTTGTTAATTGTATGACTGTGATATGTTTATAACACATCAGCTTTACTTCTCTCTGTGCATGAGGATGTGGTAGATTTCAAATGGCCTCAGGTTTATTTACAGCTCTTCCCATTACAAGCGGAATGTATTTCCTATACCCTGGAAACTGGGCTGGCCTTGGGACTTGGTCCACAGAATGTGGTGGGCAGTGATGATGTGTGTGAGCTTATATCTCAAAGGCTTTGCAGCTTCTGATCTCACTCCCAGAATGTTGCTATGTGACGAGGTCAGGCCAGCCTCTTTGAGGATGAGATGCCATGTGGAGAGAGATCCCAGCCATACCAGCCAAGGCCCCAGACAGAAGCAAGTTCAGTTGGTTCTGTGTGGAACAGAGGTGAGATATCCTGGTGGAGTCCAGCCCCAAGTTGCCTACACACAGCATCATGGTCACAGAAATGATTGCTGCATTAGCTCACTAAATTTTGGGGTGTGTTGTTATGCAGCAGAAGCTAGCAAAAATAGGGTAGAGTAACCACCCTAACCTTATAAAGCTGCCGTGAGGTTTCCATGATGATGTGTGCTTAGACCATCACCTAGCACACAGTGAGCAAATACAGTCATTACTACTAACATGATCCTGACACCTCCTCTGTCTTCTTGGCTTCTAGCCACACCAACTTCCTTCCTTTTCCTTAAATACGCCAAACTCTTCTTCTTTGGGGCTTTTGTACTTAATTCTCTGGAAGGGCCCTTCTTTGCTGTCTTGGTCTTATGACTGAGGTCTCAGCTGAAATGTCTCCTTCTTGGAGAACCCTCCTCTCCTTTCATCTCCATTCTTGCCTCCTCTCATGGTGTGTAACATCACATTGATTGGCTTCCTTCATATTATCTGTCTCCCTTTCTAGACTGGGAATTTTTTTTAGCAGCAGGAACTGGGCTTATTTTTGTTCCCTATTTTATCCTTGCTGCCTATCACAGTGCTATGTTGAACAGGTACGCAGGTGATACTGATTGAATAAATCAGTCTGGATTGGAGGTTGGCAGTGGGCTTCCAGGAGGAGAGGAGTAGCCAGGTTACAGTGCCAGATTGCCTGTGCTGCTTCCAGTCCTTACCGTCCTTTTGGTTTGTGTCCTACTTTCATGTTGGGTCCAAGAGCCGAGTATGTTCCTGATGCTCTATACTTTCAGTGGGGGTTGGTGGCATTGGATGTTCAACAAACATATGAGCTTCTCAAAGACAGATTGACCTCCTGATAAAACCTCACACAGCGTCAGGCATCTAGTAGCTGCTTAACGGAAACTTATTGGATAGATAGATGAATGAATGAATAAATGAATGAGTGCAAAAGAGGATGGGTGGATGAGAAAGCCCGCAGAACTAGTGATGATAATATAAAAGAAGAATAATATGAATTTAGGTTGGCAGGCAACTATGGAAAACCATGTTTTTTTTTTTTAATAAAGGATAACATATTTCCAATCAGTAAAATATCATAAAAGTACAAAAATGTATTAAGTACAATCATTAGCGTTATGTTATAGGGGAATAGTTGTTATAACTTTTCCCTGTAAGATGGCACATTGGGTGGTCACAGTTGGCTTGATTTACAGAGGTGCAAGAGTAGGTGACCAGTTGTACCAGTTGGCCCAGTTTCTTAGGATTTGGACCTCTGTAAAAATGAGAAAGTCCCAGGCAAACTGGGATGGTTAGTCATACAAGAAAACGAGCAGCATCAGAATGATGGCTATAGTTTGGAACTTAGGAAGAGGATGAGACATTTTTTTTTCAACTTCTCCGTCGTCTCTTTTCCCCTTAGCCCTGAAATAAAAATCCCTTTGGTTATTACTGAGGGTGTTACAGCTTTCTGAGGCTTTTTACCACTGGGTTTCATGTAATTTTGACTTAATACTTATATCAAGCCTGGGAAGAAAGGCATTTCTAACCAATTTGCAGGTGTGGCATCTTGCTTCAAGGCTCCTGCATCCTAGGGAGAATGGAGGCAGAGCAAGGACTCAAACTCAGATCTCCTAAGGCTACTGTTCGGTTCTTTCTGGCTTTTAGTAGTAGCCAGAAATTGTTTGAGTGAAAAATCGGGGTACCTGAGATCTAGGTTTTGACTCAATCCCCTCACTAGGAACAATTCACATCATCACTGCTTTTCCTGGTATGTGTACCTGTCCCTTCCTGGGCAATCCTCTTGCAGGATTCCCCCAAATACCCACCAGCTGGCTAGTCCTGGCATCGTTCTGTAGCAGAGGCAGTGAGACACAGCACATTGGCTCCAGGAGGCTGTTGCAAATGGTCCTTCGTGTCCAGGTTTGGCAGGAAGATGGTCAGGCCCAGCTCCCTGTGCTATTTGCCAACTTGATCGAATGTTTTCTGGCATCTTTGCTGAGGAGTTACTCAAGTGATAGGTCAACTCATGGCTGGTGGCATGACTCGTAGGCTCAAAATACTCACCACACTTAGTGCATCCATTTCTGTACTTTTTGCCTAATGTATAGGTACTAGCTTAAGGTGGCCCAGTAACCCTTTCTGACTTATTTTACAAGACTAGGGTTAGGCTATACTTTCCCAGAGCAGACTTGGCTTCTCTTGACAGCCTATTAAAATTCTACTGTTCATTCTTTTAACACTGTTTTGAGCTCTTTTATATATTTGACACTTATAACCTTTAGGAAGTCTATATAATCTTCCTTTACCTGTGAAGTAACACTTCCTCTGACTCTCTCTAACTGAAGGAGGCCAGTGTCTTCCAGAGGGTGGTATTCTGGAATAAGCTGAATGGGGTTTCATGTTAGCCCCACCCTTGAAGATGTTTAAGCTCTGGGTTGCTCTATCATATGGGCCTTTTCTGGGTACAGATGTGCTTATATCTCCTGATTAACAGGGTTTTCTTTTCTTTTGTTCTAAGAGCTGAATGAGGATGAGTAATTTTATTTAAAAATAAATACATTAAATAGCTTTAAAAAAGTGCCGCTGGATGGGCGTGGTGGCTCATGCCTGTAATCCCAGCACTTTGGGAGGCCAAGGTGGGTGGATCATGAGGTCAGGAGTTTGAGACCAGCCTGGCCAACATGGTGAAACACTGTCTCTGCTAAAAATACAAAAATTAGCCAGGCGTGGTGGCAGGCGCCTGTAATCCCAGCTCCTTGGGAGGCTGAAGCAGGAGAATCACTTGAACCCAGGAGGCAGAAGTTGCAGTGAGCCGAGACCATGTCATTGTACTCCATCCTGGTTGACAGAGCGACTCCATCTCAAAAAAAAAAAAAAAAAAAAAAAAAAAAAGGTGCTGCCTATGTCCTCTTGTCAGATTCCCCAGATGTTGGGACATATGGTCTGTCAACCAAAACAGGGGTCTCTGGTGCATCTGTTCCCTTTTGCATTCTTCATGCCTCTTACGCTAGCTGAGATCCTACAACCCTCAGAAGAGTCTGTGGCACTGAGTTCAAATACACTTTTCATCTTTAGATGTGGCTTTTCTTTGGCTTACAGACAAAAAGCAGAACCAACTCTCTGTGCATGGAAGGGATAACCCCAACTCAGCCATCATGGCAATACACTTGAGATGAAGCCCTAAGTCTCTTAGGGCTGCCCAAGTCTCTTCTGAAACTTTAACTCTGGGCATAAATAAACTCAGTTTATTTACTGAGAGGTAAATAAACCCAGAAACTTCCATACCCTGAGATATTGCTTGGGTTGATACACTTCTTGGAGTCTTGGAAACTTATGGCCCAATTGCATTGGATTGTAGGCTGCACTTATCTAGAGGGTCAGAAGAGTGGTTTTGGGTTAAACCAATTTGAGAACTCAATGCAACAAAAATAGCCTCCTTATCTAAACTCTGCAAGATGTGCTGCCTGGCAGCCACAGAAAACTAGAGGCCGACTGGTTTTCCAGTCATTGTGTCAAACCCCTTGGGACCAGCACTTCCTCCAAAGAAGTCAATCTTATTGGGAAAAAAAAGAATAACTCTGGCACAATGTTTCCTCTATGAAGAGGAAGGGGTCAAGGGTTGCTTGAGCCAGTGATTGGGTGGCCTCTGTTGAGTTTGTATGGATTTCTGTAGCTCCTCATATGGTCAGTGAACTCTGGGATCGGCGATGGCTGCCCCTCTTTGGGTACTGGGACATATCTGTCTGTCCTCTTGAGTAGGCCATTGTTCTATGAGGCCCCAGCAGGTGCTCTCCAGATGAAAGTTTAGCTGAGGAGTCCCTTGAGCATGAGTCATCCCTCATGCACTCTCTGCCACATCTCTGTTCGTGGATCATCCACTCTTCTGTGTTCTTCCTCTTGGGAGGGTTAGAGCTCTTTGGGGTGCTGGCACTGAAGTCCTGTTCTGTGATAGATGACACTGAGTGGCGGGTGGGTCGAGCCACTTCAGGGGCAGGGACAGGCCTCTGTCTGCTTTTCCAACTCTGGATTTCTAGGTTTCTTTTGTCTGTGGGGAGTTTGTCAATTTTCTGAGCTTTTGAGATTAAAGACTTCCCATAGGTTCCTTGTAGAGATAGGAAAAAGCACCTGGTGGGAAATAACAGAAAAAGATATTTTCTGATTTCTGTTGACTTCATAAACTTTAGCATTGAAAGGGGGTCTTTACAATCCAACTCCCTGCCCAGGGCAAGATCCTCTTTACTGCACTCCTAGCTGATGATTATTAAATCCATGTTCGGGCACCTCTAGTCTTGGGGAGCTCAACAACAAAAGTAACAACAACAAAACATAAAAGGTAACATTTATTATATACCAGGACTATTCTAAGTGCTTTATATGTTATTAACTCATTTTATTTGCCCAACAAGCCTATGCAGTTATTACTTTTGTTTTCTTCTGCATACAAATGAGGAAACTGAGGGACTGAGAGATTTAATGATTTGCCTACAGCCACACAGTAGTTGAGCTACGGTCAGGAGCATGTACTCTGAATCCAAAGACTTGTCTCTTATTCTTCACGCACAAAGCAGTCCTTTCTATTTCTGGGCTACTCCAATTTAGGCAAATTTAATTGCTCTGTCATGTTAAGCCTTTGTGAAACTTGATGATTTTAAAGTAGTTTTAAAATCCATATTCTTTTCTTGAATCTGTGGACCTTGCTGACTTGACAGCGTCATCATAGTACCACGATTTTCCCGATAAAGAAGTAAGGGCCCTAAGAGGTGAGGTGGGATTCCCAAGGTCTTCTGAGATGTTAACAGATCTCCCTGTTGACTGACTCAAGGTTTTTAACCCCCTGCCAAGCTGCATACAGTCTGTAGTAGACTCTGGAATTGGGAGTCTTTTTCTGTGTTTAGAATCTTCCCTTTGTTCAAAGCGTAGGCAAGGAAAACGGGTGAGAATGTGAATAAAACTAGGTGATGTATGGAGAAAATATACACAAGTTTGTGGCACTGGGCAACTCACATCCAGTTTCTGGATGTCCATTGCTTTATCTAAAAAGTAATCCGTTTGGCCTGGAGTACATCTAAGGTCATTCCCAAAGACAGTCTTTAAAAATTTTTTATGTTTAAAGCCTTATAAGCAGGAAGGCTCCCATTCTTCCACTATGTCTAAAAGCTGCAGGGTGACCACCCTGCCGCAACCCCCACCAGTGGGCAAGAAGTTTCTGAAAATTACAATAGATCTCGTGGAACCAGATAAACTTTTCTCCATTCTCTCTCATCTCACCCCGGGAGGTCGTAGGGACCATGTATGTGTCCCAGGAAATATTTGACTTTTTGCTTCAAAACTGGAATTTCCTTAGTGTAAACCTTTCCCTCAAGCCACTGTCTTCCTCCTCCTTTCGTTTATTCAACAAATGCTTTTCTAGTTGCCACAATGGGCCAGGCCCCCAAGGGATTAAGCCACGAATAGGAAAGACAAGGTCCTTGCTGCATGTAACATGGGAATATAGTTATAAATAGAGAAGGCAATGAGAGTGTCAGACACCTGCTCACTGAAATTAAATGCTTCTTCCTCAAGGGGGGAAGTGCTGACAGTTCCACCTGCTATATATTTCTCAAACCCATGCCCCATCAGCACCTAACTGTTTCTTCCTTAAAGAAATGTCCCTCCATTTATAACTGGATTCACATGTTACATGACAGCAAAGATCTTGTCTTTTGTGTTGATGACTCAGTTTCTTGGGGGCTTGGGCCATTGCGGGGACGTGAAAAGTATTTGTTGAATAAATGAATGGAGGAGGAAGGCAGTGGCTTGGGGGAAAGGTTTACACAAAATAACCTTTTAAAGCTGAAAACTGCAAGATGCATAGGAGGTAGCCACACCAAGGGGATGAGAATCAAAACCTAGGTACAACTGGCTGAAGCTTGGGGAGTGATGATAAAAGCAGAATATGACCCAGGAGGGGTTGGCAGAAGCAGAGCAGGCAGGAACTGTGGACCAGGTTTATGGTTTTTGTGCTTTATTGCAGAAGTCTTGGGAAGCCCTTGGAGGGTTATGAACAGGTGACATGATCACACTTTGAGCCAATGTTAATGGACTAGAGTGAGATCCAATAGGAGACTAGTGAAGTAATTTGGGGTGAAAGGGCAATAGTCTATTGGTAGTAGTGGCTGTAGAAATGGAAATAGTATATGGGTTTGAGAAATACATCGTAGATAGAACTGTCAGTACTTGGTGAAAGGCTAGATATAAGCATGAGTTGGCAGGTGATGTCAAGAATAATTTCCCGGGGCCTGCCTTTGTCCTAAATGGGTAGTATTTACTGAAAGAAACTCTGGAGATACCCAGATTTCTGGGGTGGTGCTGGTGACAGAGGGTGGAGTCATGAATTCAATTAGAAATGTCTCCCAGTTTCCTCAGACTTAATATGCCCAGAGGAGGTGATGAATAAGTTGCTAGAAAGATGTGTCTGGAATTCATAAGAGAGGTCTGGGCTGGGAATTTATGGTGAAGAGTCATCTGCTAAAAATAATTTTTAAATCCATGATAGTGATTGCTCTTTATGGAGAGACTATAAAGTTAGAAGACAAGAGAATGTAGGGACAAGAGAAGCTAGGTTAAGCAAACCACCAAACTTATATTAAAGGAAGTAAGGCTGGTTGATGGCTCTCTAATTTTGGGATAAAACAAGTTCTGTATAATGTTGTTGTAATTGTCTATTGGTTATAGCTTAGAATGATAAAATGCTTAATAGTGACGTTCAGGGTTGTGAGATACTCGGGATGGAGAGAGGCTAAGTCTTGCCTGTGTGCACATCATTGTCAAGTTCACTGCTCTGACTAGAGAGTGTGGGCTGCCAAATAGAACTCTGGCCTTTGAGTTGGGAGAACCTAGCTCCCACTATGATTTGTGTTAGGCCTGTGAACACATTCTGGTCCCTCTTGGTACTTCAGCTGTCCCATGAGCGGGGTACTAGAACCATAGGTCTGCCCAACACTTAGCTCACGGCAAAAACAAAATGAGAGGCTAGATGGGAGAGCCTATGTCAAGAGTGAGCTCCAAGGAAAGGCAAGTCATTTATAGTTGCTGTTGCTATTTTTCTGGAAAAGATACATTTACTGCAGAGGGTTTAACCTGGAAATATCCAACGTAGTGCCTGGGCATGGATAATTTATTTGACTAATGCAGGTCTTGTATGGAAGGGGTGCGTTTAGACAAATTTGAATAATATTTAAACATTGCCAATTTCATGCAAAATCTGAATCTCTGAGACAACTCTGAAGCATTTGATCTTTCCTTGTGGCCATGATGGAAGCTGAGACGTTCTTTCTTCTAATGTCTGCCCTCCATCTGGCTTGCTGCACTCACTGGCTTGTCCCTGTAGGTATTTGAGTATGAGATTCCTGAACTAATATAAAAAAGAACCATAGAGCAGCTCAAAATAGTTCCTTATCATACACACACACAAATTGTAAGGCAGGAGAGTGGGAATTGATATTCCCATTTTATAGATGTCACAACTGAGGTCACACTGACTTGACTTCACTACTTTGTGGCTAACCTGGGACCACAGTCCATGTTATTTGCCTCCTGGTTGTTCATTGTTCTTTCTATCCTAGCTCTCTTTCTGAAACAGTACCCTCAAGGATCTTAGCAGAAGTCAAACTCCTGACTCTTAGGTTATAAAAATGGCTTATTAAGGGGAGATTGGTAACTCTAGTAAAGAAAAATAGCCCCAGTGCTCAAACCTTGGGAGAAGAGCCACAACTGGTGTGAGAAAGCAGACGAGGTAGAAAGTGGGGTCTGAGAGCTGGCCTTCCATCACCCAGTAGGGATTTGTGGGGCTGTTGCAGATGACGCAGGTGGCGTTGTACAGGAGGGATACCAGAAAGTACATCAGGAAGCTGCCAAGGAGCACGAGCCCATGGAAAATGGTCTGTGGAGGAAAAGAAGTAAACACTGTTGAAGGTATAGCTGAGATTAGGGAGCAGGGTGGTCACACTACTTGGTTAACTTTGTTTCAAACTATTTTTGAAATGCAACACACACAAAATTCAAAAAGTGTGCAGTTTAATATATCTTTATAAAGCAAATGCCCAAATTGTTGCCATGTAGAATTGAACACACATACCCTGGAAGACCCTATTCTTCTGTCTCAGCCTGCTTTTGGTGATAATTTCTATGCTATCCTTTGTAGGTTTACCACCCATCTAGGTTTCCCTACATAGCCTGTTTTTGAATGTTGGATAAATAGAATCATGTTTCATGTGAGACTTTTTGTCCTCCTACTCCCAAGTTAATATGTTTAAACCCTAATCTCCAATGTGATAGCATTTGCATGTGAGGCCTTTTGAAGGTGATTAGGGGGAGCCCTCCTGAATGGGATTAGTGCCCTTATAAGATGAGACAGGAGAGAGATTTGATCCTTCTTTCATTCAGCCATGTGAGTAATAATATAGCTTGAAGGCAGCGGTCCAGGAAGGAAGAGGGCCTGAACCAGACACTGAATCAGTTGCTGCACTGATCTGGGGCTTTCAGCCTCCAGAACCATGTGAAATAGATCTCTGTTATTTAAGCCACTCAGCTTGGTGACAGCCTGATGACAGATGTTACAACAGCCTGGGAAGGCAAAGACACTTCTGCAGCTTTTTTCACTTGATTTTATGCTTTAAAAAAGGGGTTCCCAACTCCTGGCCCATGGACTAGTAACAGTCCATTCCCATTAGGAACTCGGCTGCATGGCAGGAGATGAGTGGTCAACAAGTGAGCATTGCCACCCGAGCTCCATCTCTTCTCAGATTAGTGGTGACATTAGATTCTCACAGGAGCATGAGAACCCTATTGTGAACTGCGCATGTGAGGGATCTAGGTTGGATGCTCCTTATAAGACTCAAATGCCTGATGATCTGAGGTGGAACAGTTTCATTCCAAACCACCCCACCCTTCAGCTGTCTTCTACGAAACTGGTCCCTGGTGGCCAAAAGGCTGGGGACTACCACTTTAAAGTTTTATCTATGCTGAAAGACATAGCTCTCGTGCATTCATTTTAACTATTATATGGTATGAACATGCCACAACTTATTTTTCTCATCGATGAACATTTAGGCTTTTTTTTTCTTGTACATGTCTCCATATATACATGTGCAAGTGTTTCTGAGGTGTATACTTAAAATTGCACCAAAAAGTATGAGTACTTTAAATTCCTCTAGCTGTTTTCAAATGACTCTTTAGAGTTTATGATCTACTAACAGGATATGGGAGTTCCTTGGTTATGCTTTATCATCTTTAACACACTCCCCAAATGAATTGTCGTATTTTATTTAGAATTTTCTACATCTGGCTGGGTGCAGTGGCTCACACCTGTAATCCCAGCACTTTGGGAGGCCAAGGTGGGTGGATCACTTGAAGTCAGGAGTTCAAGACCAGCCTGGGCAACATGGTGAAACCCTGTCTCTACTACAAATACAAAATAATAATCATTGGGCTTGGCGATGTGTGCCTATAATCCCAGCTGCTTGGGAGGCTGAGGCAGGAGAATCACTTGAACCTGGGAGGCGGAGGTTGCAGTGAGCTGAGAATCACGCCACTGCACTCCAGCCTGGGTGACAAGAGTGAGAATCCATCTCAAAAAAAATTTTTTTTCTACATCTGTTAATTAGTGAGATTGGTCTGTAATTTTCTTTTTTTTTTTTTTTTTCCCATTTATTTATTTTATTGCATTTTAGGTTTTGGGGTACATGTGAAGAACATGCAAAATTGTTGCATAGGAACACACGTGGCAGTGTGATTTGCTGCCTTCCTCCCCATCACCTACATCTGGCATTTCTCCCCTTGCTATCTCTCCCCAGCTTCCACCCCCCACCGTCCCTCCCCTATTTCCCCCCAACTGACCCCAGTGTGTAGTGCTCCCCTCCCTGTGTCCATGTGCTCTCATCGTTCAACACCCGCCTATGAGTGAGAACATGCGGTGTTTGATCTTCTGCTCCTCTGTCAGTTTGCTGAGAATGATGGTTTCCAGGTTCATCCATGTCCCCACAAAGGACCCAAACTCATCGTTTTTTATGGCTGCATAATATTCCATGGTGTATATGTGCCACATTTTCCCTATCCAGTGTATTGTCGATGGGCATTTGGGTTGGTTCCAGGTCTTTGCTATTGTAAACAGTGCTGCAATGAACATTCGCGTACATGTGTCCTTATAGTAGAACGATTTGTAATCCTTTGGATATATACCCAGTAATGGGATTGCTGGGTCAAATGGAATTTCTATTTCTAGGTCCTTGAGGAATCGCCACACTGTCTTCCACAATGGTTGAACCAATTTACACTCCCACCAACAGTGCAAAAGTGTTCCTATTTCTCCACATCCTCTCCAGCATCTGTTGTCTCCAGATTTTTTAATGATCGCCATTCTAACCGGCGTGAGGTGGTATCTCAGTGTAGTTTTGATTTGCATTTCTCTGATGACCAGTGATGATGAGCATTTTTTCATATGTTTGTTGGCCTCATGTATGTCTTCTTTTGAGAAGTGTCTGTTCATATCCTTTGCCCACTTTTGAATGGGCTTGTTAGTTTTTTTCTTGTAAATCTGCTTTAGTTCTTTGTAAATTTTGGATATCAGCCCTTTGTCAGATGGGTAAACTGCAAAAATTTTTTCCCAATCTGTTGGTTGCCGATTCACTCTAATGATTGTTTCTTTTGCTGTGCAGAAGCTGTGGAGTTTGATTAGGTCCCATTTGTCTATTTTGGCTTTTGTTGTCAATGCTTTTGGCGTTTTGGTCATGAAGTCCTTGCCTACACCTACGTCCCGAATGGTTTTGCCTAGATTTTCTTCAAGGGTTTTCATGGTGTTAGGTCTTATGTTTAAGTCTTTAATCCATCTGGAGTTAATTTTAGTGTAAGGTGTCAGGAAGGGGTCCAGTTTCTGCTTTTTGCACATGGCTAGCCAGCTTTCCCAACACCATTTATTGAACAGGGAATCCTTTCCCCATTGCTTGTTTTTGTCTGGTTTGTCAAAGATCAGATGGTTGTAGAAAGGTTGTGTTGCCTCCGAGACCTCTGTTCTGTTCCATTGGTCTATATCTCTGTTTTGGTACCAGTACCATGCTGTTTTGATTACTGTAGCCTTGTAGTATAGTTTGAAGTCTGGTAGTGTGATGCCCCCCGCTTTGTTCTTTTTGCTTAGAATTGACTTGGCTATGCGGGCTCTCTTTTGGTTCCATATGAAGTTTAAGGTGGTTTTTTCCAGTTCTGCAAAGAAGGTCATTGGTAGCTTGATGGGGATAGCATTGAATCTGTAAATTACTTTGGGCAGTATGGCCATTTTCACGATATTGATTCTTCCTAACCATGAACATGGGATGTTTCTCCATCTGTTTGTGTCCTCTCTTATTTTGTTGAGCAGTGGCTTGTAGTTCTCCTTGAAGAGGTCCTTTACATTCCTTGTTAGTTGTATTCCTAGGTATTTTATTCTCTTTGTGGCAATTGTGAATGGAAGTTTGTTCTTGATTTGGCTCTCTTTAAGTCTGTTACTGGTGTATAGGAATGCATGTGATTTTTGCACATTGATTTTGTATCCTGAGACTTTGCTGAACTTGCTTATCAGTTTCAGGAGGTTTGGGGCTGAGACGATGGGGTCTTCTAGATATACAATCATGTCGTCTGCAAATAGAGACAATTTGACTTCCTCCTTTCCTATTTGAATGCCCTTTATTTCTTTTTCTTGCCTGATTGCTCTGGCTAGAACTTCTAATACTATATTGAATAGCAGTGGTGAGAGAGGGCATCCTTGTCTGGTGCCACATTTCAAGGGGAATGCTTCCAGTTTTTGCCCATTCAGTATGATACTGGCTGTTGGTTTGCCATAAATAGCTTTTATTATTTTGAGATACTTTCCATTGATTCCTAGCTTATTGAGTGTTTTTAGCATAAAGGGCTGTTGAATTTTGTCAAAGGCCTTCTCTGCATCAATTGAGATAATCATGTGGTTTTTGTCTTTGGTTCTGTTTATGTGGTGAATTACGTTTATAGACTTGCGTATGTTGAACCAGCCTTGCATCCCCAGGATGAAGTCTACTTGATCATGGTGGATAAGCTTTTTGATGTGCTGTTGCAATCGGCTTGTCGGTATTTTATTGAAGATTTTTGCATCTATGTTCATCATAGATATTGGCCTGTAGTTTTCTTTTCTTGTTGAGTCTCTGCCGGGTTTTGGAATCAGGATGATGTTGGTCTCATAAAATGATTTGGGAAGAATTCCCTCTTTTTGTATTGTTTGGAATAGTTTCAGAAGAAATGGTACCAGCTCCTCTTTGTATGTCTGGTAGAATTCAGCTGTGAACCCATCTGGACCTGGGCTTTTTTTGGGTGGTAAGCTCTTAATTGCTGCCTCAACTTCAGACCTTGTTATGGGTCTGTTCAGGGTTTCGGCTTCTTCCTGGTTTAGGCTTGGCAGGAGGCAAGTGTCCAGGAATTTATCCATTTCTTCCAGGTTTATTAGTTTGTGTGCATAGAGTTGTTTGTAATAATCTCTGATGATGGTTTGAATTTCTGTGGAATCTGTGGTGATATCCCCTTTATCGTTTTTTATTGCATCAATTTGGTTATTCTCTCTTTTCTTTTTTATTAATCTGGCTAGTGGTCTGTCTATTTTGTTGATCTTTTCAAAAAACCAGCTCCTGGATTTATTGATTTTTTGAAGGGTTTTTTGTGTCTCTATCTCCTTCAGTTCTGCTCTGATCTTAGCTATTTCTTGTCTTCTGCTAGACTTTGAGTTTTCTTGATCTTGCTGCTCTAGGTCTTTCAGTTTTGACGATAGGGTGTCAATTTTTGATCTCTCCTTGTTTCTCATGTGGGCACTTATTGCTATATATTTTCCTCTAGAGACTGCTTTAAATGTGTCCCAGAGATTCTGGTATGTTGTGTCTTCATTCTCGT